CCTCCCAACAAGGGTATATTTCTTTGGTCAGCTAAAGTATTTGAGGATGCTGCCAGAAATGCCCACTTCCTTACACTCACCTGAGCCCAGTGGTACCCGCCAGCCCAGCCACTTCAAATAAAGCAGCCAGCCTATGCCCCATCATCCATTCTGTGCTGTGGATGAGGCTGAAGCCAAGAAAGTCACAAAGGGATGCCCCAGGGGCAGCTAGGTGGTGCGGTAGATAGAGCACTGGCCCTGGAGTGAGGAGGACCCAAGTTCAAATCCAGCCTCAGACACTTATTAGCTGTGAGACCCTGAGCAAGTCACTTAACCTCAAGTGTCTCAAAAAAAAAAAAAAACAGGACACCCCAGTAACCAGGGCCATCAGTCATGGAAAAGGGTCACACCTGAAGTTTCCCCAGCCAATGGCAGAACCAAATTCCTACCACACCTTGTATCATCGAGTGGTCAATTCTACTCTCCTTTACCCCTAGATCTCAGCGTAAGGCAAAATCTACAACTGACAGACAGTGTGGTACTGCGGATGAAAGACGCTCTTGGAGCCAGAAGACCTGTCTTAGCTAGTTCAAATCCCAGCTGTACTACTGATAAGCTGTTTTACCCTATATGTCATTCCAGCTCTCTGAGTCTCAGTTTCCCCATCTGTAGGCAGAGAATTGCTCATCCTCCCTAAATCCCAGGGTTCATAGGTGCTAGAAGGGAAGGTTATCTCAGATGTCCTCTAGTCCATTTTAGAGATGAGAAAACCACAGCCTGAGATTGGAAGCCCCTCGAGGGCAGGGACTGTCTTTTGCCTCTCTTTGTATTTCCCACACTCAGCACTGTGCCTGGCACATAGTAGGCGCTTAATGTTTATTGAATTGGATTGATTTGGAAGTTGTCGCCTTTAACTTACGTTATCATTGTTCGTCCATTTCAATGCCCACTCGTCAGCGGATTTTTTTTCCCCTTTATGGGCTGGATTAGATGGTCACTGGGGAAATTTCCAGCTCTGAGATTCTGAGATGGAGTAGGATCAGCCCTTCAACAAACAGCTATTGAGCACTGCCTGTGTTCCAAGCACTGTGCTAGGTACTGTGATGGAACACAAACTCCCTGAGGGCAGGGACTATTTTTATATTGTATTTGTAACTCTAGTCCTGTGGTGTGCACACAGAAGACACGTAATAAATGCTTGTTTGGGGTTTGGTGGAGGGAGGTTGTGTCTCATGTCATAGAGGAGGAAACTACTGTCCATCTCACACAGCCAGCATCAGAGGTGGGATACAAACTGGGCTCTTCCCGACCCTCAGCACTGACGCCACGCTGCCCTAGCCTGTTAGGCAGACTCTAAGCCCAGTTCTACATTCCGGCCTGGCATTCTGACATGGGCGGAGGAGTCATTTTGGAAAGCTTTTTTTTTTTTAAAAGTGCCGACGTCTCCGAGCTTGGTACCAGCTTACAACGAACAGAATATGAAAAGTAAACACAGGATTTAACGCGGAATTTGAAATACACTCAGCTAACGCCAAGAGACATAAATCAGGAAAATGAGCCTGTGACTTCCCATAACACATGCTGTGTTAATTACAGTAAATGACATCGACGGTGGCTGGTCACTTAGAGTGGACCATGTCAGGCACGTTTTTATCTGCAGACAGAAGGTTGGACCAAGTGTTGAGCTTATACAGCTGGAAGGAGCCAACCCCCTCATTTTACAGATAAAGAAACTGAGTCTCAGAAAAGTCAAGTGACTTGCCCACAGTCACACAGTGCGTAAGTATGGCAGGTCCAGGATTTGAACCTAGGCCTTCTGAGGTCCTTTCAAGATTTACTTTAATTTTCTTAAGGGTCTGGGGGAAAGGGAGAAACCAAAGATAGAGGAAAAACTTGTTCGTGATACCAAAAGCCGACATTTACTAGTGTCCAAGGTCAGGTCAGCATCAACAGCTGTCCCTCTACCAAACCCTTTACTAAACTGCTTTCTCTTGACCTCCTGGTAGGAAACCGAACTGGTATGTACATTAAACTTCAAAGCAGCTGGTAGGGTGCACCAACACATTTTGCTTGTGTTTAGGGTTTGGGCATTTTTTTGGTCTGGTCCCATATTTTCGTTAATATAACGAACACCCAGTAAAGAGACACCCTCTGTCAATGCAGATCATCTGATGTCCTGCAACCTAACGGTCCCGGAGAAACGTCTGAAACATCGAGAGGTCAAGTTACTTGCCCAGGGTCACACATCAAAGACTTGAACCAGACAAACCTTTGAAAAGCTGAACCCGCTTCAACCTTCTGCTTCGAGATCCATCACCCCCAGCTCAGAGCCATCCAGTGGATCGCAGAAGCTTGCAGGATCAAGGTTTTGCTGAGTTTTCTATTCAAAGCCCTCCACCATCTTCCCCGCCAGTACCAACATTAAATGATTCTCTCCCTTTCTCACCTCCTCCGGGTTCTCTCCTCCACTGCTGGCCCCCAGCGCCCTCAAGTTCCTTTCCTCGGCCTCTTTATAAACTCTGCTCACAGGAAAGCATGGCAGAGGGGAAATGTGCTGCATATAACCACTGAACATGGGGGTCTGTGGAAGCCAAGTTCAAATCCCAGTTCTGACACTTGCTACCTGGGCAACCCTGGGACAAGTGGATGGAGCAACTGGTCTGGAATCAGGAAGACCCAAGTTCAAATCCAGTCTCAGACACTTACTAGACATGTGACCCTGGGCAAGTCACTTAATTTCTGCTTGCTTCAGTTTCCTCACGTGTAAAATGAGGGGGTTGAACTAAAGGGGCCTCTAGCTGGGCCCATCCAACTCTAAGTCCATGAGCCTATGAAAGGGGACGTCACCAAGCATAACACCTTAGTGTTAATCCAAGACCCTGGCCTCTGGACACATGCTCTCTTGCCTAGAGCACAGCCCTTCACTCTCGGGCTTCCACAGCTTCATTCAGACCATTTCCCCATTCCTGGAATGCCCATCTTCCCCCCTTCTCCTACTGACTTCCTACCCTTCCTGCAGAGAGCAGATTGCCTGCTCTTTTCTCCAGGGGATCAAAGGACCTCCGGGGGATCATAGGATCTCTAGAGGATCTCCAGGGATCACAGGATCTCTAGAGGATCTCCAGGGGATCACAGGATCTCCAGGGGATCATAGGATCTTGGCTCTGCAGCTGGAAGGGAGCTCACACACCATCTAGTCCAACACCCCCCTCATTTCACAGATGCGAAAACCAAGGCCCACCTTTAGGATTAAAGTGACCCTTCCCAAAGTCACCCCCCTTCCTGATTCCAGCCCATTCCTCCCTCCAGGCTTTAATTACCTTCCTCACCTTGAGCTTCTCCCTTCTCCAGGCCACCTCCATCCGCTAAAGCGCAGATCCCACCAGGTCACCCTCTACTCAACAGACTCCACTGACTCTTATCACCTCCAGGAGCAAACATCAACTGCTCTGCCTGGCATTCAGAGCCCTTCGGAACCCAGCCCCCTCCTCCTCCCTTTCCAGTCTTCTCATAACTTGCTCCCCAACGCATACTCTTCAATCCAGAGACACTGAAGCTGTCCTACGAACTAGACTCTCTGTCTCTCACCTCCAGGCACCATCTCCATCTGCCCCCATGCCGGGAACCTTCTCTTTCCTCCGCTCTGACTCCTGACCTCCCCGGCTTCCTTTAAGTCCCAGCTAAAACCCCACCTTCTCCAGGAAATCTTCCCCAGGCCCTCTCCATCCCAGGGACTTTCCTTTGCTAATTGTTTCCTCTCCTGTATACAGCTTGCTCTGCATATATCGGACATCTCTCCCATTAGATGGTGAGCTCCTTGAGGGCAGGGACTATCTCTTGCCTCTTTTTGTATTCGTAGAACTTCTCACAGTGTCTGGCACACAGTAGGCACTTAATAAATGTTTACTGAGGGGGCAGCTAGGTGGCACAGTGGACATAGCTCCAGCCTTGGAGTCAGGAGGACCTGAGGTCAAATCTGGCCTCAAACACTTGACACCTACTAGCTGTGTGACCCTGGGCAAGTCACTTCACCCTAATTGCCTCACCAAAAAGCAAAAAAACAAACAAACAAACAAATAAATAAATGTTTATTGAATTGAATTGAAAAAGGTATCACATAACAACAGGATTGTCATTCCAGGGCTGGAAAAAGCCTTAGCCATCATTTAATCCAAACTTCTCATTTTACAGAGGAGGAAACCAAGTCCTGAGATGGGTTCAGTGAGCTAGGTGGCATAGTAGATAGAGCACTGGGCCTGAAGTCAGGAAGTCCCAAGTTCAAATCCAGCCTTGGACAATTCGTAGATGTGTGACCCTAAGCAAATCACTTCACCGCTGTCTGCCTCAGTTTCCTAAACTGTAAAATGGGGACAATAACAGCACCTACCTCCCAGGATTGCTGTGAAGATCAAATAACATGATATTTGTAAAACTTTGAAAACATTAAAGGACTGTATAAATGCCAGTTATTATCATTGCCCAACATTTTATTTTGTTCCATCCAATGCACTTATCCTGAAATATTATTTATTTTAGTTATCTGTTCTTGTTATCTTACCCCTTCTAATAGACTAGAATCTGGAGGCTAGGGAACAAGTAATAACTGAACTTTGCACCTCTCCTAGCACAATGAGCTGCAAACCACAGGGGCTTAATAAATGCTTATTGTGTTCTCTTTCTCAGGAGCCCTTATACGTTTAGCTTCATCTCTCCTTGTGAAATTAAGGGCTCGACCCACCCCAACCTAAGTAGAGGGATTCCAAGCATCAGCAACTAAGGAGAGAACATTGGGGGCGGGAGGGAAGTCCCAGCATTCCCTGAGATCAATAAGCCTGAGAGCTGGTGAACGTATCCCACCCCACCCCAGGCTTGGCCATGGGAGAGAAGGACAAGGAAGAGGAGGAATATGATAGTCTAGAAGATACATCCTCCTTCCCACTCCCCATCCAGCAGTATCTCCTATCAACAGATGGCATGAGACCTTTTTAAAGGGGTCACCCACCCTGGGAGAAGGCACATACCTCCGCTCATACCCGACACACCACATCTGTCGCCCACAGCCCTGCTTCCACACTTTGACCATCCGGGTGAAGGCCTGGACACAAGGCTGCCGGTGGCCCACGATGGTCAGCTCCGTCACAGTACACACGTTGGGCCTGGTGTGGAGAGAGAGAGAGAGAGAGAGAGAGAGAGAGAGAGAGAGAGAGAGAGAGAGAGAGAGAGAGAGAGAGAGAGAGAGAGAGAGAGAGAGATTGATTTAGCTTACTTGACAAAACTGGTCATAGAACTGTAGAAACAGAAAAAGTTCAAATGGGAAGGGACCTTGGTAACCATCTGGACCAACCCTCTTCAATTGACAAGGAATGAAAGTAAGACCCATTCAGAAGAAAGGGTTTGCCCAAGGTGCCCTAGGTAATCAGGGACAGCAATATCCTTAAACACTCTTTATGTGTAATTGGAAAAAATATAACACTATTCAGTGTTTTGAAAAATCTATCCCAAGCAGACTTAGATAAACCACTGCAGAGCAGAGAGAGCAGAAACAGGAGAACAACGTATACAACGAATACAACACTGTAAAGGAAAACAATTTTTGTGAAAGATTTAAGAATTCTGACCAATGCAACAATCAGCTGAGACTCCAGAAGGTTGATCGTGAATCTCCTGCCCCTCGACAGAAGTGGAGGATGACAGGTACAGAGTGAGACATACATTTTCAGATACGGCCAGTGTGCGGATTTCTTTTTCTCAACTATACTAATGTGAGACAATGGAAAGAAAGTCAATGTAGTCAGAAAACTGGTATTCAGTTCTCAGCTCTGCTACTTGCTGATTGTACAACAAGGGAAAAATAAATCAACAAATCAACAAACCCCAAAGATGCATTAAAAGAAGATTTTTTAAATTAAAGGAGAAATAGATAAATTAGAAAACACAGATTTCAGCCTTCAGCAAATCATCATCTCTTTGGAATTTGGTTTCTTCATTTGTTAAAAAAAAAAAAATAGGGTTCACAGTAGATTATGATTATCCCTTCCACATTGCAGGGGCATTAGGGGCATGGCACCCCCACAATTTGTAAAATCCCTGTTAAAATTTTTTGGCCCTCCCTTCGTACCAGAGAAGAAGTCTGAATTATCATGGCACTAAAAGATAAAATATTTTGATATTACACAAATCTATATATCTATTTTATGAATTTCTCAGTTTCTAAACTTTTGCTGTGTTTTCTACAAGCCTTTGTGTGTCATCTGTGGCTTCCTCAAAACGCCCCAAAAATTCCCACTTAATTTCTTATGCCAACCTGCGATACATCAAAATCGCGATGGGGAAAGTCACACTGTGGAAAGGACAACGGGATCTCTAAAGTTGTTTCCGGTTTAAAATCTATGATCTCATAAGGGAAAAATGGAGGACCTGACTGTAACACGTTTTCTCAACTAGCCTTCTCGTCCAACCCTTACCTAAAATGTATTTCAATAATGATAATAATCACGATGGTGATAAATAGCTGGCATCTATATAGCACTTTAAGGTTTGCAAGATGTTTTACATGCTGTCCCACTTGACCCTCACAATAACCCTTGTGAGGTAGGTACTATTAGTATCCCCATTTTACCAATGAGGAAATAGATTCATTTCATAGTGTTTAGTCTGCAGCTTCTAGGACCCTTTCTCTTGATGTATGTAAGCAAATTTGTGCTGCTTAGAATTGAATAACTACAAAGGCCTTCCTTCTTCTGGGGAAAGCAAATAAACTGATTTCACTCAGAAAATACAGGCATACTCAGAGTGAGACACAGCTGTATTCATAATGATGGCCTTTCCTTAGGAGGATTTCTGCTTATTGGAAGTTTATTCACCCTTCCCCAACAGAATGTGAGTCAGCATTCTTAATGCAGAAATCTCAAGGGGAAAGACATAATCACTTTCCATCAGAGGCCTTTGATCCTGGATAGAAAGAACAGCCCAAGGCCATCCTTCTAATACTAGCCCAGCAATTCAGAGGCAGAAATTCTGGAGAAGACTCATGCCCATATTAATTGGCTACCTATACGGGTTTGGATTGCTTCTTGCTTTCACCCCTGAAGCCAGCCAAGATCTCCCCCTCTACCCACAAGTATAAGTTCTTGGATAATGTCTGTTTGGTCCCAAATGCACCATGGCAACTGAGATTATAGATAAGACTCCTCACATTCCCGTTGCTGGCTACCCTTGAGTGAATGAGAGAACATTCTAATCCCATGCTCTCATGTCCCTCAACTAATTATTATACTGAAAGATCCCAAAACAGATCTGAAAGCTGAGGTTATGGATAAAAGCTGGCTTTTCACCAATCAGCATCCTAGAGAAAGGGGGAGGGTAGGGCAGAGCATCTCTATAGGAGTCCCATCAGAGATGAGACTTTTCCTACACAAAAGGGAAAGATGAGAAGCCATCTTGAAGGCAAGTTCCCCCCACCACCCCCAATCTAGACACACATCTAGAGGATCATAGCACCCCACCGTCATCTTAGTCAGCTGTAAAGATATCCTCTAATGAGCCTGTTTCAGACATGTAGGTCTTATACGTGGGCGCTCTCCTGTTCCCTTTCTCTGGTATTTATCAATTCACAAGCACTTCTTACGCATGAGGCACTGTGCTAAGCCTCAGAGACACAAAGACAAAAGTGAACCAGTCCCTGCCCTCAAGAAACTTACATTCTAATTAGGGAGCAACATAGTAGACCAAATGGATACAAGGTAGTCTTGGGAGGGCTTGGCCAGCTGACATTAGCATGTCCCACAGCCAAGGTATTTAAAATAACCCAATGCTTCACCTGATAAAAATGTTTGTTTACATAAAAAGTCAGGTCTTTTCTTAAGAGTGGAATGAGTACAGCCTTCATCTTTTGTCCTAGTCTTCCCAAAGAAACTCTTCCTTGAACAAAGAAAAAGTTACTCAAAACAAAAACCAATAAGATGTCCAGGTCTGGCAATGCATGCAACATTCTGCTCCCAGAGCCTCTTGGCTCCACCTTCCCTAACCTCCCCAGACAGGTCTGCCAGGACAACCAGCCCCCTGCAAGATGCTCATGCAGCCGAAGTCTTCGTTTCCATTACATTAAAGCCCTCCACGTCCCTTTTCAATGTTTGAACACCTAGCCTGAGTAAGTTGGGTACCCCCCATCCACCCAAGTAATTTGGGAAATGTAAATGAGTCAGCAGCCTGGACAGAGGAAAACACAAAATCAGCAATAATTCACAGGGGATGGGAACGGCAGAGCTTATGCCAGGGCATTGTAGCTAATTAACTGGGAGATTAAAATGCTTTGGCTTCCAAATTGATAATAAATAATAAAATGTATACTCTCTTTGCAAGCACCTAGAGGTCTCCAAGTTGGGCATTTTGCATGTAAAGTTTGGTCTCCATTGCTGTGGGCTGCCTTACTATAGCCCTCTCCCACAGACTCAGTGATTCTTCACCTCCTAAGCCATTGACCCCAAGCCAAGGTGGAATCATGCCTTCTCAAGTGGGGTACTATAGGGGCAGAATGTTGCCTGCATCCTCAGACTTAGTCACCAGGTTGGTTATTTTTGCTTAACTCTTTCTTTTTTTCAGTGGCGGGATCTACTGGGGGTAAGGAGAAGAAGCTGGACGTATCCAGAAATAACTGTAATATCCAAAAGGCAGAAATAAAACTTTTTAAATTTTTTTAGTAAACGAACCGTTCAGGGTAATAGAAAAGCAGGAATTGGTGCTTTGGAATCAAAGCCTGAAGGCCTGGGTTCAAATCCCATCTCTGCCACATGCTAGCTGTGTGACTTCGAACAAGGTACTTTCCCCCTCTCTGGACCTCAGTTTCCTTTTCTGTAAAACTGGAAGGGGAGATAGGAAACAAGTTATTCTCAGGGATCTCTTCCAGTTCTAAATCCTATGAAGTCAGCTAGCTAAGTTTATCCAAAGAAATGATTAGCCCTGTTCTGGTTGATTTCGGATGTCCCTCGCCTCCATTTTACTTCTCTCTACCAAACAACTCAGGGCTCCTTCAAAAGTGTTGAAAGCCCAATGCAGGTCTATGGAAGACAGCACTAGATCTATCAACACAACCTCTTTGGACCCTGCTGTGGACTTCGATGACTCTTAACTCACCCACTGTTGTCTCAAGACAGCCACAACTTTAATTCTGGGGCTTGGCCATAGGAGACAGATGCATACGAACACACCATTTCCCAAGTTGGCTGAACCAGAGATGACAAAGATTAGACTGTGTAGCCCTTAAAATCAGGGAAATCTTTTGGCATTTTTTGCACCTCCAGTACCCAGCGCACTTAATAGTAGGCATTTAATACACACTCATTGACAAAGCTGGGGTCACAAAATCATTCACGTAGAAGGGGAAGAGACCTTAGGGGTCATTTACTCTGATGCCTTCATCTTTACAGAGATCACAAATGTGGAACTGGAAGGATCCTTTCAACTTCTTCATTTTGGAGTAAAGGGTACTAAGACAGAGAGGTTAAATGACTTCCCCAAAGTCATGCAGAGGATTTGAACCCATAGCATAGAATCAAAGGATCATTGGCTGAGCTTGAAGGGATCTCAGAAGGCACTGTACTTGCTTGAGGTAGGATTAAAACTCAGATCTAAGAGTGATTTACATAAAGATGAAAAGCGAGCACTTGGAAACTGAGACTGCCAAGTGAAAGATAATAATAGACAACTAATAGTAGATGATAATAACAAGACAGACAATAACAACACAATGACATAATAACAGTCAGATAAGAGACAACAGATTTCCATTTTTGCAGAACACTTCTCATAGATTATTTCATTTAAGTCTCACAAGAACGCTGCCAGGTAGGTATTATAGGTATTCTTGTTCCCCTTTCATAGGTGAGGAAACTGAGGCTCACAAGAGTTACATGACTTGCCCAAGGTCACCTAGTTAAGCCAGTGTCAAGGGAGGGGATTTGAAGCAAGGTCTTCCTAACTTTGGACACAGTGCTCTCATTATAGAGAACAGGACTGAGGGTGGCACCTTGGGGGAAAATTCAGCTATGGGGCAGTTAGGAAGGCTAGGTAGTCCTCCATGTAATTAGAAGTCACATGAACAGTTGAGCATCAAGGTATGAGGTGAGGAGGGAGGGATACAGGTCTTCCCTGAGGCACT